CACCTGCCAAAATGCTTGCTTTGATTAGAAGAATGCCATATAAGTTAAAAGACAAATGGTGAACGGTAGCATGTGACATCCAGGAGAGGCAACATCGCAGAGCTGATTTTGTTGACATTGTTTCCTTCCTTGAGTGTCAAGTTAAAATTGCTACAGATCCCGTCTTTGGAAATCTATGTGATGTTCCAGCAACACATCTAACAGCCAAGGGCAGCAATGGAGGGAAACGTTCTCCACATCCAAGAGCTAAAAGGAGTAGCTTTGGTACAACTCTGATGCTAAGAGACAGAATCAAACAGGAGCTCAAGATCGCCACAATACTGTGAAGGCTTGTTTGTTCTGCAAAGGCGGACACACACTGGGGTCATGTGCTCTGCTTGATAAGATACCTCATAATGAGAAGATTTCGTTTCTTAAAAGGAATGGCATCTGTTTTGGCTGTTTGTATACTGGGCACATCAGCAAAGAATGCAGAAAATGTCTTTTATGTAAAATTTGTGGTTTCAGACATGCCAGTATTCTCCATATCCACCACAAGGAGAAGAATGAAGCCAAACCTGATAACGAGGCAGATAACAATCCAGATTAGTGGTCATACGGTGAATGAGATTGTAAGCTTGCCATCATGCCAGTTAAAGTAAAATCAAAGAGAGGTCAAAGAATAGTTGAAACATCTGCCTTTCTGAACCAAGGGAGTTCAGCATCCTTTTGTACAGTGGGTCTTATGGACAAGCTGAATATTGCTGGGAGGAAGACAACGATTCTCCTGCGCACTATGGGACAGGAGAAAGTGGTGGACAGTTTCATTGTACCTGAACTTGAAGTTGCTGGATTGGACAGTGACATATACTGTGATACACCTGACCTCTTCACTCAGCACAAAATGCCTGTAGATATTGGTAACGTCCCACATCAACAGGTCCTGGATGACTTGCACATTTGAAGCATGTTCATTGGCCAGAAATGAAGTCCAGTGTGGAGCTTTTGATTGGCATGAATATGCCCAGAGCTCTGGAACCTTTGGAGGTCATCCGGAGTGTCGGTGATGGACCTTTCACCGTTAGACTGTGCTTGGTTGGACAGTGAATGGGCCACTTAATCGAGAATGCTGTGGAAGGCCAGGATGTTTGGCAACAGTTACTCCCAACAGAGTTTCTGCTGTCACACTGGATAAGCTATGGAAACAGCAGTTCAAGATGGACTTCCCTGAGAGCAGCCATGATGAGCAGATGGGCTGTCAAAGGAAGACTCAAAACTCCTGGAGTTGGTGATGGGTGATTTGGTATATCCCTCACCATGGGGTTTACCATCCTACCAAGGAGAAGATGCGGGTCGCCTTCGGCTGTGCAGCATCATTCCAGGGTGTCTCTCTTAATGCGCAGCTCCTGAGTGGCCCTGACTTAACAAATGCTTTGGTTGGAGTACTGACGAGGTTCAGAAAGAGCCTATTGTTTTGATGTCTGACATCCAGGTTATGTTTCACCAGGTGCATGTGCCAGAGGAAGATTCTGACCTATTGATATTTCTCTGGTGGCCTGGTGATGACTTTAGAGCATGCAAGAGTACAGGATGGGTGTTCATTTGTTTGGGGCAACATCCTCTCCAAGCTGTGCCAACTATGCCCTGCGGAAATGCGCAGAGGACAACAAAGCATACTTCAGCCAGCAGGTGATAGACACCATTCTGTATAGTTTTTATGTGGACAACTGCCTTGCTTCAATAGGCTCTGAAGACGAAGCCATGAATCTTTACTCAGATCTCAGAGACATCTGTGCCAGGGGTGGCTTCCACTTAACAAAGTGAGTAATAGCTGCAGCATTCTGGCAGTTATACCTGAGGAGGAAAGAGCAAAGAAAGTTAAGGTCATAGACCTGGATCGTGACCTGTTGAGGGAGCATTGGGACTGTGGTGGTGCCTACAGTCAGATGCATTTAAGTTGCATTTAAGATGCATTGTAAATGTAAAACCTGATTTTGGAGAGACGGCCACTGCTCAGTTGCATCACTTTGCAGATGCGAGTGGAAAGGGGTGTGGCGCTGTTACTTACCTGCTGCTGCACACCAGTCACTCACAGATACACAGTTCCTTCATAATGGGAAAGTCCAGTGTGCCTTTAAAACCAGTCACAATCCTACGCATGGAAATGATGCCAGCAGTGGTAGCAGTTTGCGAGGATAAAATGTGGAGGAGGGAGTTGAGACTACCCCTCCTAAACTCAGTATTTTGCACAGACAGCACCGCAGTGTTGAAATATATCAATAATGAGACTTCCAGGTTCCGTGTTTTTGTGGTGAACCAAGTGTCAGAGATCCTCAAGGCTTCTAGTGCCTCCCAGTGGAGGAATGTAAACACAACGCATAACCCTGCAGACTTTGCCTCCAGAGGCATGAAGGCAGAGACCTTTCTACGTGACACTGAATGGATATCTGGTCCTGCATTTTGTTACACAGCCAGAGAACAATTGGCCTGTGAACCCAGAACTTGCAATAACTTTAACATGAAGATCCTGAAGTTAAGGTGTCTGCTGCCATGGACGTCTCACAAGCACATGATGATGATCATCCTCTGATCCTTTTAATCCATTGTGCTTCATTCTGGACTTGTCTCATCAGGGTGATGGGTTGGATTTTGAGGTTCAAGACCTTGCTATTGCACCGCAGGAAGAACAAGACAGACTTCCAGTCTCCATCTGATACAACTCAGTCTGAAGGTGCTCATCATAGGGTGGAGTTCTGCCACGGTTTTCTTTCATTGGGAGAGGTTGAGGATGCTGAGATGCAAATAATCAAGTTCTGTCAGAGGAAAAGATATCCCTAAAGGATATTCCTGCCTCCAAAGAGGAGAGACTTTGAAACGAAGCAGCCACATACATAAGGTGAATCCTGTTCTGGAGGATGATGTGCTGCGGGCTGTCGGACATCTGAGTAGAGCTGTCATGTCAGAAGATTCCAAGCATCCTGTCATAATCGCTAAAGATCTTCACATTTCTTTAAAAAAAATTTATTTATAAGATTTTAAGGTCAAAGATCTTCATATTTCTAATCTAATTCTGAAGCATATTCATAAAGAGGTGGTTCATGGTGAAAAGAACCACATACTCTCAAAGCAGCGTCAAAAATACTGGGTTCCTGGTGCCTTATGTCGAGGTGTGTGGCCTGTGGAAGGTTTCATGGAACTGCAGGCCAGCTGCAGCTGGCTGAGTTGCATGAAAGCAGAGTGACCCTTGAGAAAACCCCGTTAAGCTTTGTTGGAGTGTACTATTTTGGTCCATTTGAAGTAAAACGTGGGAGAAGTGTTATGAAGCGGTATGGCGTTATTTTCGCTTGTTTGGCGATTAGAGCCAGGCGTTTTCAGGCAAATACCAAAAATCACTTTTTTCGGATGACAACTACAGATGAAGACATGTTTTCAAATTGTCTTGCTTTCTTACTTTTCCATTAAATATTTATGAAAGCTTCAAACTCACATGAACAATCCACTAAACCAGAGTAGCTGAAAGTCCAGACTGTGAGAGTTTAAGTATAAAACAAAAATGGAATAAAGGCATAACGTAGACATGCAAAGAAACACAAAAATACAAGAAGAGGTTTTTAATTTCACACAGCACAATCAAAAGGCAGCAAACAAAAATCAGATCATAAGAGATGATCAGCTCCTGAGTCCTGAGGCATTGCACTGATTGTTTCCTCTACTCCTGCAGCAATAGTGTTTGTATATATGAAGACATTCAAGCATCAAAAATAAAGATTTTACTTTAAGGTGGCACATCTGCTGATTTTGTGATTTGGTATTTTATTATATCATAAAGCTACTGTGAGCATCAAAGGCACCAATGGCTGCACACAGGACACCCTGGGAAAAAAAACGTGTTTAGAAATAGATCAGAAATCTGTGTTTACCAGCGTTGAATGAAATCCTATAAAAAAGTGACAGCGGAGAAAAAAGCAGATCTTCTACATGCTCAATAGTAAACATGTAGAAAAAAAAAATCATCTGCAGGATGGTAATGGAAAGGACAGATAAAACCGATGGTTGTGGACCTTCATTACCCTGAAAGAATCCCTATCGCGTGCACACAGTCACACACTGATGCTCATGGTTTGAAAAGAATGGGCTGCATCTTGACAAAAGTGAAGTTGTAATACTGTGGCAGGCCCTGGTGACTGGTGCTGCTGAATTTGTCCCAAGAGAACGGCGGGAGTCCGTCCTGTGTTGTCGGCCCGTTCACCGCCTCCGCACGGAAATCCCCAGCCAAGTGGAAATCTGTCACCTGCACAGGGAAAAAGACGCCAACAAGAAGAAAGCTGGGTAGAGCTTAAAAGCATCTGAATTCATGAAACCTGCATGACTGCTACTGATGAAAAGGCTATTTTTCTATTGAAGCGTATCCAGGCCTGGCAGAGAGTGGGTAGCTTACCTTGGGAATGTAATGTCTCTGGTGAAGGTTCCCAGTCATATCAGATAGACATGGTCATATCCACAAATGCAGCAGAATCCAAATACACCGTAGTCAAAGGAGCGTTGTCCGCTAAAGAAAAAACGCTGGAATTCTTTAAGTTGCTTGAGCTCCTAGAGACGTTTTCACAGCCTAATCATGTGGAGCACGGCCACTGAGGAAACTAAACGAGCAGTTCTTATCCAAATCCTGATGTGAGACGGCCATTTATCAAAAACCCCAAAAACATACAGAATAAAAGCTACAAAATAATTAATTATGAGAAAAGAAAACATAAGTCCTCTCACATCTTACAGCAAACAAAAGTCGATCCATTAAATAAAATAATTATTTGAATTCATAACTGCTGGTATGTAGTATTACTGCTAGTGCCATTAATGTAACACTATTGGCTCTATAGCATATTTATAAAAATCTTCTTAAGTACTATTACTTCTACTTTTTATATTTAACATGACTTATGCCTGTGAAACCTGATATGAAACTGTTGGTTGATGCTTCTGCATCTCAGAGTGCAGATTTATTTGTTAGTAATTTTTCACTGTTCTTGTTTTTGGTCACATGGTTATCCTACCTTCTTCCCTTGCTTCTTGGCCCACGCTGCCACTCCTGCCTGCAATCCGTCCAGCTGAGCCATGATGAAGCCGGCATGTTTCCACAGAGGATCGGAGCTCTTGTTCCCTTTCACCTGCTGTCTGACCCATGAGTCCTGCTTCCTGAATATACAAGAATCATATTAGACTGACATTTAAGTAAACAGATAACTGCTACTGTACAAAACTCCCACCGTAATACTGCATCAGCAGAAAAACATGATCAAAACTGTTCTTTATTCTGCAACATTATGAATGTCAGGGGTGAACTTCTGTAAGCTCTGTTGTGGTCAAGAGTGGCTGAATGCCAACGCTGAGAGTGCTTAAATGTTTGGTTGAACTTTTTTCAGAAGAGGATATGAAAGATGACAGATTGTGAAGTAGATGTGACATTTCTGCTGCTCGGGTTTTAACTCTAAAAGGAAAAGGGAACAGACTCACTCCATAAATTTCTGAACTGGGTCGAGCATCTTTGGTTCGGTGATCAGCTGCGGGTACATGTTGGTGTAGTGGTCCATCATCTGCCTCGGGAGGAGGAAGAATGAGTACAAGTATAAGAGTGAATACAAAATGCCATAGCCTATAGAGTAAAATAAATAAGGTTATAATGAGAACTGACAGCACTTACTGGGCGGTCAGGAAACCTTCGAGGTAGCCAGCCAGGAAGAAAGTGATCTCATCCGTTTCAGGAGTTTTTCCATACCCTGCTCGGATCTCCAGGACGCTCCAGCCTGTACTGGATAGGGTGTTATTCAGGAACCCGTAAGCATCCCCCTCGACCTCCATCACCCCCTCCTTTAACTTGACAAGCTTGTGATCAGGGTCCCAGTACACAGTGGCTGCTGTCAGCTCTGAGAAGACATCAACATAATGAAAATATAAACAAAAAGGGAGGCACAGATCCCAGCTCCTCTACTTAGGGATTTTTTTTCTATATTTGCTGTGATGAATTAATGGATGCAAACAAAAATGAAAGTTAAATGTCAGGTTAGGGATCACACTGCACGAAACACTTCACTCAGTCTCCAAAACAACTTAAAACTCAACGCGTACAAAAATCATCTGTACGGCACATTCATACAAGCAGGACGGACGCTGGAAATAAACCACCACTTCATTCCTGAAAGAATGAAACCAACAGATCCTTAAACAATCACCCGTGACTTCTCATGGACTCGTCCTACTTACTGTCAGCAGAGCCGAAGGTCGCAGCCACGCTGAACAAAAGACAGACATGTAACCAATTTAGTGGAGACATGTCTGCGAGAATGGAGCTAAAAACTAAAACTGCTGCGGGACATAGAAATGGTTCGAGCAGAAGTGGCAGAAGTAAAGAGGAAATCTGCGTTTTCTATGCAGGAAAGTCCAAAGGTGACGCGAGCTCAGTTTCCTGATAGGCTGCGGCCAGGAGCGGAAAAGGGGAACAGTACGCACACGTGAAAACACTTCGAGACAAGCTCCTGGAACAACTAAGATCGTTGGTAAACAAGAGATTTTTAGTTTTGAGACAAGAAAGAAAGAAAATAACTTTCCACCCCAGATGGGACTCGAACCCACAATCCCTGGTGTTGTGGATAGGCGTAACTTTGGGTCACGTGGTGTCGGTAATAGTAATAGTGATTGCTATATCACCTGTTCACGGCCCGAGGGAATTTTTGTGAATGAGTGGGTGATGGGGGAAGTCGACTTTTGCTGACCGCTCAAGCTTGGAATGTTTTTGATCACTGTTTTTCTACGGATTTTAAGGATTTGATAACAAATAAAGGAGTTTTAACCTGGAACTTTGACTTACGTTTTAAACAGCGGGCGCGTCAACATTATTCCCCTATTCAGCTGCTCGGCGACTCAAGCCGACGCGAGTCCATCCACCGCCGCCACTACACCCACAAAAACGACTTGTCTGACAGAGAAAGAGAAGGCGACAGTTGCTTATGTTGAATGCTTAAAATGAGTGGATCACAGGCTGCATCTGTTGTTGGAAAAACTGAACAGGATAAAAGATTAATTTCTCTCACTGAGAAAGCTCTTGCAAACAAAATTGAAACCATCCAAACAGATCGGAAAAGGCATGTAAACAAAATGAAAAGTGTTATTATGTCTCTTAAAGAGCTAATGAAAGATGATAAAAATCATTCACAAGTCAAAAAACAGTTTGATGAGTTAACACACCTGTTTAAGGATGCCAGTGCATTGCATGAATCTTTACTTTCTCTAATCTCATTTGATGAGAAAGATAAACAAAATACATGGTTCTCAAGCATCGCTAAATACAATAATTTCTCGTCTCCCCTGCCCAATCACTCATCCGATCACTCTGTCTCTCTTCTCCTGCCCAAGTTTTCCCCCTTTCTTCCACTACTTCCTTCACACTTTCATTCCCTTTCATATCCGCATTCTCCCCCCATCGATTGTTTTCTTCTTTTCTTTAATCTCAGTTAACCCTGGAAAGATAAACAAACATATATGGTTCTCAAGGAGCATTGCTATAAATACATAAACTAATAAAGAGTTTTTATTTGGAGGAAGGGATGTTGTCAGATTATAGCCCTGTCGATCATCTCATATACTGCAAGAATCCACCTCAGTACGGCTTTGAGAAGACTCCATAAACTGCCTTGCCCCTCGTAAGCGCCTCGACTCTCTGTTCCAATAGTCCATGAAGGTGGCTCAGGAATAACTTTTAACCGCCCGTTCCGTGCACGAACCATAGGAGAGTGCAATACATGTGGCGGGAAATAATCAGTCTTAAAAAAAGAGAACCGCTGGGGTTCGGGAATAATAAAGAACCTTGAACCATCATGGTTCGGGAACAGCACCATGCAGGACAGACGAGCTCTACAGAGGGTTGTGCGGTCAGCTGAGCGCACCATCCGCTCCGAGCTCCCTGACCTGCACTCAATCTACAGCAGGCGGTGCTGGACCAAGGCCAGGAAGATCGTGAAGGACCTCAGCCATCCCAACAACAGACTGTTCTCTCTGCTGAGGTCAGGAAAGCGATTCCGCTCCCTGAAGACCAACACAGAGAGACTGAGGAGGAGCTTCTTCCCGCAGGCGATACGGTCTCTCAATCACACCACCACACAGTACTGACCCACACATGGTTCTTACACACACACTGGACTTTCTGGACTTTGTTTTTGCACAACACTGGTCACTATATTCTTCATTTCCGGTTAATACTTGTACAGCTGCTGTTATTGTGTATATATTTATTTATATTTAGATTTCTTCATACATTCTTATATAGTTCTATATTGTGTATTTTGTTGTACAGTTATTTTATTTTCAACTTTAATTTATATATTTTATCTTATTCTTTCCCAGTTAAATTTACCCTTCATTCTAATTTGTGTTGTACAGTTATTTCATTTTTAACCTTAATTTATATTTTATTCCTTCCTAGTTAAATTTACCCTTTTTAATTTTTCATATTTATTTCCTATCTTATTCATAGCCTTTCCTTTTTTGTTTTCTTTAGGTCACGAGCAGTTGTCCAAGCATTTCACTACATATCGTACTGTGTATGACTGTGTACGTGACAAATAAAATTTGAATTTGAATTAGCTTGCTGAAACTGAAAAACATTCAGGCAGGCCATCATCTGACAAAGCATAGTCAGATGATGGCCTGGAAACTTCCCTGGGAGGAGAAGTGGAGGTGCAAGAGCACATTGGGAAAAGAACCTCAATTATGTCTTAATCCCCAGAATGATGTTCAGGATGACGTGTTGTGTCAAATCAAGGCAGTAGGTCGAGCTCAAGAGTATCATCTACTTCATCTGCACGTCTCAGGGCAGAAGCTGAAATGGCCGCCTTGCTCGCACGTCAACATATGCTGAAAGAAAAACACTCTCTTGAAGAACAAGAGGAACAATTGAGGAGAAAGAAAGAACAACTTCAGCTTGAAGCAGATATAGCTGCAACTGTTGCAAAGGTGAACGTGCTGAGAACTGGATCCACTATGCGGAGCGTCGCTTCACGGAAATCTAATGGAATGGAATCATATTTTAAAACAAAGGGAAACAGCCTTGAAATTCTTAATGCGGATGCAGAGACTTTTGTTCCACAGACGCTTACAAAAGGAAATGCAATCACTGGGAATGCAGAGCTTCAAGTAAAAACAGTGCAACAGAATATGAAAAGGGAAAGGCCTGCACCAGCTCTTATGGGGCCTTCTGACGCTTTTGGATCAATTCCACCTTTGCCTAAGCCACAAGCTGCTCATCCAGTAGCCAATGAAAATCTGTTGTCCATTATGGAAAAACAAAATGAAATTAACTTGTATGTTGGTCCATCAGCAAAGTCTTTCTTCACTGCCCAAAAGGGAGATTCAAACCTTTGATGGTGACCCTTTACATTTTCAGGCCTTTATGCGCTCGTTTGAACAGGTCATAGAAGCAAAGACTGGCGATGCTGGCGACTGCCTGCATTATCTTGCACAGTACACCAAGGGGCAGCCCAATGAACTTGTTAAAAGCTGTCAACATATGTCTGGAAGTGCTGGATATGTAAAGGCAAAGACTCTGCTGTATGAGCACTTTGGGAATGGACATGTGATTGCATCTGCTTATTTGAACAAAGTTCACTCATGGCCACTGATTAGATCAGAAGATGGAAAAGCTCTTCAGGCATATTGTTTGTTCTTACGTGGATGCTGCAATGCAATGGAAGAGATTAATGATCTCTCTGAATTAAATACACCTGCCAATATGCTTGCTGTGATTAGAAGACTGCCATATAAGTTAAAAGACAAATGGCGAACAGTAGCATGTGACATTCAGGAGAGGCAACATCGCAGAGCCGCATTCATTGACATTGTTTCCTTCCTTGAGCGTCAAGTTAAAATTGCAACAGATCCCGTCTTTGGAAATCTATGTGACGTTCCAGCAACACATCTAGCAGCCAAGGGCAGCAATGGAGGGAAACGTTCTCCACATCTAAGAGCTAAAGGAAGTAGCTTTGCCACAACAGTCTCTGATGTCGAGAGACAGAATCAGACAGGGGCTCAAGATCGTCACAGCACTGTGAAGGCTTGCTTTTTCTGCAAAGGCGGACACACACTGGCGTCATGTGCTCTGCTTGATAAGAAACCTCATAATGAGAAGATTTCTTTTCTTAAAAGGAATGGCATCTGTTTTGGCTGTTTGTATACTGGGCACATCAGCAAAGAATGCAGAAAATGTCTTTTATGTAAAATTTGTGGTTTCAGACATGCCAGTATTCTCCATATCCACCACAAGGAGAAGAATGAAGCCAAACCTGATAACGAGGCAGATAACAATCCAGATTAGTGGTCATACGGTGAATAGGACTGTAAGCTTGCCATTGTGCCAGTTAAAGTAAAATCAAAGAGAGGTCAAAGAATAGTGGAAACGTATGCCTTTCTGGACCAAGGGAGTTCAGCATCCTTTTGTACAGTGGGTCTTATGGACAAGCTGAATATTGCTGGGAGGAGGACAAAGATTCTCCTGCGCACCATGGGACAGGAGAAAGTGGTGGACAGTTTCATTGTACCTGAACTTGAAGTTGCTGGATTGGACAGTGACATGTACTGTGATATGCCTAACCTCTTCACTCAGCATAAAATGCCTGTAGATATTGGTAACATCCCAAATCAACAGGACCTGGATGACTGGCCACATTTGAAGCATGTTCATTTGCCAGAAATTAAGGCCAATGTTGAGCTTTTGATTGGCATGAATATGCCCAGAGCTCTAGAACCTTTGGAGGTCATCCGGAGTGTCGGTGATGGTCCCTTTGCCATTAGGACTGTGCTCGGCTGGACTGTGAATGGGCCACTTAATCGAGAATGCTGTGGAAGGCCAGGATGTTTGGCAACAGTTACTGCCAACAGAGTTTCTGCTGTCACACTGGACAAGCTATGGAAACAGCAGTTCAAGATGGACTTTCCTGAGAGCAGCGATGATGAACAGATGGGGCTGTCAAAGGAAGACTCGAAGTTCCTGGTTGGTGATGGTGAAGCTTTGGTATATCCCTCACCATGGGGTTTACCATCCTACCAAGAGGAAGATGCGCGTCGTCTTTGACTGTGCAGCATCATTCCAGGGTGTCTCTCTTAATGCGCAGCTCCTGAGTGGTCCTGACTTAACAAACAGTTTGGTTGGCGTACTGACGAGGTTCAGAAAAGAGCCCATTGTTTTGATGTCTGACATCGAGGCTATGTTTCACCAGGTGCATGTGCCAGAGGAAGATGCTGACCTTTTGAGGTTTCTTGGTGGCCCGGTGGTGACATTAGAGCATGCAAGAGTACAGGATGGGTGTTCATTTGTTTGGGGCAACATCCTCTCCAAGCTGTGCCAACTATGCCCTGCGGAAATGC